TTAAAACTAAAAAAAAAAAAAAAAAAAAGGGTTATGTGGGGTATATTTGTAATTAGCATCATTAATGATAGAAGACCCAACAACTCCTTAATTCAGTTGTACTACTCCTCATTCATCATTACAAATCCTGAAATTTCTTTTTCACCAACCGCTTTGATTACTCAAAGAAGAAAAGAACTGTAACCAACGACTAAAAAATAATTGATATTATAGATAAGATAAACCCTAAATAGAGAATCCCACACACTGATCCCTCAGCATGAAAGGAGAAAACGGAATGACGAAAAAGAATTCATCGTTCATCATTAATGGATCAATGGCAGTCAGGTGTAGTTTCCATTCCCTTATAGCACTGCTTGTTGCTGCCTTAATTGTGGGAGCCATTTATTTGACTGCCGAGAGTGGGCAGTTGATAGAAGAAGATGATGCAGTAGTTCATCAAACGACTGGGAATGATTCTTCATCTTCTGGTTGTGATTTGTTTTCAGGAAAATGGGTTTTTGATAACCAGACTTATCCTCTTTACAAAGAGGAAGAGTGTACATTCCTGTCAGATCAATTAGCTTGTGGCAAATTTGGAAGAGAAGACTTGAGTTATCAGTATTGGCGATGGCAACCTCACCACTGTGATCTACCAAGGTCTCTCTCTCATTCACAAAGTTCACAGTGAAATACCCATCTAAAAGTTTAAACATTTAGAAGGACGAGAACCTTATTTCTATGATCTCGTAAAAAAACATATATATGAAATACTCATCTAAAAATCTAAACATTTAGAAAGACGATCACTTCATTTCTATAGTCTCGTAAAAAATATACTTCATCTACAAGCTTAAATTGATAAGAAGGGACAAACTTGTTTATTTAGATTATATTTTCATCAAAAATTAAAAGTAGGTGGAATGTTTTTTTCTTATGTTAATTAAGGTTCAATGCCTCAGCACTATTGGAGAGATTGAGGAATAAAAGGCTTATTTTTGTGGGGGATTCTCTAAATAGAGGGCAGTGGGTATCGATGGTGTGTCTACTCGAGAAGGCCATTCCTACAGGGCTTAAATCCATGCACAACAATGGCAGCTCCTTGATCACTTTCAAGGCTAAGGTCAGTTTATACCAACTGTTAATTAACAAACTATTATAATTTTTTGTTAGCATTTATAGATCCCATCGAGATCGTTCAACTAGGGTCGAGTGGGACAAAATTTCAAATATTTGGTACCTCTCGATTCAACTCAACTCAATTCGAGTAAAAATTTTTACATGATAAGAACGTTAATAATTGTAAGAACAAAACAGTTTTACTTATCATTATTCTCCCTCTTTAATGTCACTTGCATAAATTTTCTTTTGTGGAACCTAATGAAGGCATACAATGCAAAAATTGAATTTTATTGGGCTCCATTGCTGGTGGAATCCAATTCCGATGATCCAATCAGCCATCGGTTACCTGATCGGATTGTGAGAGCTCTAGCCATTGAAAAGCATGCCAGGCATTGGACAGACGCTGATATACTTGTCTTTAACACTTACCTTTGGTGGAGACGACCTAAAATG